TCACGCTTTGCAAGCATGATCTCACCTTGCGGCCCTATGAGATCCGCGAGGGTCATCGTCTCGAACCTGTACCGATCAAAGTCTGACTGCGGCAGAGCCTTTTGTAGCCCAAGAGTGCCCTCCTGCCCTTCTGGATGTGGTTTGAGAACTGGCCCCAGTTTCTGATCAGCTTCCATAGCCTCGAGTTGAGCTCGCTAGCAGCGGTGAACCACCCTCCCTCCAACCTCCTCGAGATCTCCAGATAGACTGACCTAAGCCTCACAGCCTCGCTGAACACAACAATAACCTTGGCCACCGCCTTCACCAACCCTGCTTTGACACTGGCATTCATTCTCACCTCTCTGCAATGCGGCCCCGCTACCGCCTCCTCGTCCTCGTTATCAACCTCATCTCCTTCCACATTGTAGTCCCGCTGCCCCGGGGTGACTATCCTCATACGGTCCTGGAATCGAGAAAGTTTGAAGAAGATGTCCTCCATTGAGTTGACGCCACCAGGCTTTGTCTCCTCGCTGAAAACAAACTAAAGGTCAAAGCAAGTTCAGTTAGTCACCGGCAGGACAGATGCTCCAATAATATAGTAGTACGTATTATTTACTTACTTACTTATTATATAGCGCATTATTTATATATAAACATGAAAGAGAGATACCACTACGTACTGTATAAATAAATAAACAAACTTATTGCCTGCTGCGGTGAGACGAGCCGAGACCCATCTTCACGGCGTGCAGGAACTCCGGGACAGTCCCTTGCTTGATCATGTCACCGTAGATGAACCGCTCGCCCCATTGCTCTGCGCCGCTCTCGACGGACACAGTGGCACGGCGGAAGCCCGCGAAGTAATAGTCGCAATCGCGAAAGAGTAGGTCCACCTTGAAGTTGGTGTAGCCGGAGTGAATCAGCCTAATGATGTGATGGCTCATTCCTGTCTCTGGGTTGAGCAGAGGCAGCACTGGCACCTCGTACTCTCCGATAAGCACTGGAGCCAAGCTACGTGCACGGGCAAGGCGGGCCTTCACCATCGCTTTGAACTCCTCTTCACCATCATTTGCCAAATCGTACACAAAGATGGGAACGTCCTGCATGCATGCAGTACAGTAAGTACTACAATTGACAACAATTACTATATATATAATGATGATAATCTAGTCGGTGGATGTGGATCCGAAACAGATTATTATTACTAGTATATATGACTAGAGTAGAGCTAGCGGTGACCTGCAGAGATCGTTGCCTAGGTGCAAAACGGTGTATATGCACCTCTCCGTCAGCATCTATGTGGAGGAGGTGTTTGTGCAGCTCTCCATCACCATCTGCTGATTAGAGTAAAATATCTGTTAATTTGATAGCATCCGGACAAAAGAATCTCCAATATGCAGAATAACAACAGTTCTTAGGGAGGGACCTAGCATCCGGAAAAAAGAAAGAAAAAATCACGTTACAACCGGTGGTATATCCCTGGCCATCGGCCCACACGCACACACACGATCTATTTGGCCCAGCTTTAGGCCATGACACTGCACGCGCTATGTATGGAACATGCATGGTACTGGTATAGAAACCAAATAAACTAGTCGTGTAGCTTGTCCTGACATCCATAGGAGTATAGATGAGACGACTGGTACAGACAGAGCGAGCATGCATGCATGCATATGTCAGGCTTATATATTATTATTACGCAGTAGTACTAGCTAGTCTCCAATCCCGATGCAGGCAGGCCCGACCCGAACAATGCAAGCAGCTGCAGTCCAGGTTCAGGCCCAGGCCCAGGCCCTGACTGAAGCGGCGGGTTAACAACGTGCACTGCATTCAGTCCAGGCCCACATACACTCACATCGGGTTAAGAAACAACGTGCGCTGCATGCAGTCCAGGCCCGAGAGAAATTCACGTTACAGCAGCAGATTCCGCCCGCGTGGGCCTATATTGTATAGAGAAGAAGGAAGGAAACGGAATGGCTTGCGGGCAGACGGCCCAGCCCAGCAGTCGGTCGAAGCCTCGAAGGCAGAAGGAATTCCATTCTCGTGGGCCCGTGTTCAATCCCCACGAGTCGCGAACCGCACTCGCCTACGTAGTAAAGGAGATCAGCCTCGGTTCTCGTGCAGGCTTCAGGCTTCATCTTCATGTGACGTGACGACAGAGACAGACAGGCTTGGTAGCCAGCATAGCAACCTGGCCCCTGGGATTCGAAATGGAGACAAAACCCCAACTCTTGCAACAGAAAGGGGGATAACCTGACACTGGCAAAATAAAGCTACGTTGCTTTGGCATTGCAACCCCACCCACCAATCCAATTGACTGCTGCATGGCACCTGGGAGAAGATTCTTCTCGGTTCGACTTCGGTTGAGCGCCGCCGCCCCGCTCGCCGGAGCATCACGCGACCCGCCCTGCCCTACCTTACCCGGCCCCCGCCCATACCCGAGGGAAATAAAGCGAACCCTACTCCGCGAGCGGCGCCGCTCATCATGGAACTGCTGGAAGCTCGCCGTTGGCCTGGCCATGGCCGTGGCCGGCCGGAGCATCACGCGACCCCCTGCCCTACCACGCTACCGCCCATACCAGAGGGAAGGGGGCCATACTGCGCGCGCGGCCGTCCATCCTGGAACAACAACTCAGGACTGCTTGAACGAACTGGAAGACGGCCGGACCCTCACCGACTGCGCTAGATAGCTGGTACGTGCGCCCATGGTGTGGCGTGGCGAACTGGCGACGGCGTCGAGATCTATCCCGCCGTCGCCGTGTGCCAGAGGCGCTGGCCGCCGGCAGCTGCGGGACGCGGCGCTGACGTTGATGGCGCGAGCCGGGGGAGGGGTGCCGGAGCATCACCGGACCCGCGCGGCTCCGAGGAGGGGCCGGGCTTGGCTCGCCTGAGGACGAGTGGAAGGGGGCTCGCCTTGGCACCCTGCGCAGCAGCCGGCGGTGGATAGAGCGACGGCGAAGCAGATATACATACGTACCTGCAGCTTCCATCGTCGCTGGGATCGCCGGGGGTGGGCGCGCGGCGGACAACTCGCTGCCTACGGGCCGTACGGTCGGAGCAGTCTCCTACGGGTGGCTCCTCCCCCATCTCCCCTTCCTGCAGCGACGGTCGCCGGGGTGGGAAGAGAGACAGAATTGGAGAGGGGGAAGGGTTTTGGAGTTTGGACGGAAGGGAGGGAGAGAGAAGAGCGAGTGGAAGAAAGCGAGAGCTCTTTTGGACACAGATTCAGTGCCTTATTAGCTTCTTCAAGGCACCATGTACTCCTCATCTGTACCATACACCATGCATCCAAGGGCTAAGGAAGGCTGCAAAGCTTCTTTCTCACAGGTAATCAACCAGCAGCAGCATCACAATATTCACAAATACAAATTTATCCAACCAAGAAAGGAGTGTCTTCTAGATTATACATTTTTTTACTGCTGCTAATACTCCTACGTACGTGCACAGTCAATGATAAAAATTCCTGAAAAAATCATTAGAAATGGGAACAAATTTGAGTGACCTGTTTTCCCGACCGTTTTGCGGATCTCATATTTTTACAGGAACGTTCCCGCGGAAGAGTATCGTATTTGGGAAGCAAAATTATGTTTTTTGAATTAATTTCCACCTTACACACGTGGTTTCCCACCACATTATTTTTAAATTATATAACCGAACCCAACCCCACCCCTGAGTTCTCAATCTCTTGCTCCCTCCTTTCTTCCAGTTCCACCAACAGCTATCCACAAAAAAGAGGCAGAACCGTCACCGCGAGTGAGGGAATCTTGGCACAGCCAACATGACGTGATCTCAACGCTCAAAATAACTAATGCGCGCGTAGTCTCTAGAAATTGAATTTCACCAGATTCGGTTTTGGGCACGACCAATATCCACTAATACCAAAGGAACGAGGTGTTATTTTCTCTTTTCTTTTTGTTATTTATTTATTACAATGTTTCTATCTACATTGGATTAGATGCAAACTGTTGTTCTACTCCCTTGGTCCTAAAATATAAGGAATCGTTAAAATATGTACCAAAAATACAAGGTATTCTAAGTCTTCAGTCTTTCCTGTCTCTCCTCTGTCTTTACGTAATAACCGAGCTACTCACCCCCTCCAATCTTTACGTAATAACCGAGCTACTCACCCCCCTCCAAATTAGTAAAGGGTAATACGGTATTTTGCCGGACTCAAATCGCTTCAATTCTTTATTGGACAACAACAACAGCATCCAGCCACAAATGCATTGCGGCGGCCTCGTCATCCAACTCACTCCATAATGTGTTTGAAGCTTAACGGGCCGCAACAGCCACAGATGCGAGCCCAATAAACATGCACAGCAATTTACAGAAAAAACGTTGGGTCACAAACTCACGGCACAACGCTCCAAAGTCCAAACAGGTGACTGATGTAAAAGCAGCTCTTCACCAGTCACCTGCCAGCTAGACACACCCAACACAGTAACCTAACCATTTGGGCACCAGAGGTATGTGTGATAATGAGAAATCATATAGCAGTCGATGACAACAAATGAATCTTTGGCCATGTTTAGTTCAGGGAATCGGCGGCGCCGAAATCACTGCAGACTACTGTAGCGAACTGTAGCATTTCGTTTTAATTTGGTAATAATTGTCCCATCGCTTGACTAATTAGGCTTAAAACGTTCGTCTCGTAAAGTACAACAAAACTGTGCAATTAGTTTTTAATTTTGTCAATATTTAGTACTCCATACATTTACCGCAAGTTTGATGTGATGAGAAATCTTCTTTTTCATAGTGTCAAAGTTGAGAATTTGGGAGGAACTAAACACACCCTTTGAATATTGGGAGGAATAGGGAATATGGTCTTACCACGATTCCCTGAATCTATCTAGAAACAAGAATTACATGGGTGAGCAATAAACAGTAAACACCCACCGATGCAAGTTATCACACACAGCTCACGTTGTTACAGCAAAAATGGCTGGCTGCTCACTATTCATCACTTCTATAAGCACATGCTACTTCAGTCAGCTTTCATTCGGGTCAACAAGTTGCTGCTGTTAAGCTTTGGTGTTTTGACGATTTGTCACGCCACTCTTCCCACCAAGACTGGAACCATCTGTGTCAGTAGACTGGGCGAAAATCAAATCCCATCTACTTTGAAGATTTTCTAGTAGTGCACATCCACTGCCGTGGCTTTTCAATATCATCGCCTGTTGTTGTTGGTACATGCCAGATTCCATCTTCAGATTCCTACATCCAAGAATGGTAATAGCATGGACTGTGTTGTTCAGTTTCTTCAAGGCATATGATTGTTTCTGTAGAGGATATAAACTTTATACAGATTTTACTTTCATCACCTGAACAACAATTGAATAGGGAGGCGGCAAGTGAAGGGTAGGGCCACGCCCAGAGAAAGTTAGTCTGACCTGCATAGAGTTGCATAGGTTATCCACATTGAAACTTGAGAGGGAAAGAAAAAAAAAAGCACAAGATCCAGAGAAAGTCTTGTAGGGTCACAAAACTACAAATGGGTTTGGGCGGGCCTCAGCATGAGTGTGCCATGCCTGAATTTATGAGCAAGCCTTTTGTGCTCCTTAAGGCTTAAAGTGGAGCAGCATCAAGCTCTAGACAATGCAGACTTCATGGCTGTGTAATGTAAGAGATATACCTGATGTTTCTCTTTCCACCTAGGAAAAAAACTAGTGCCAAGCAGTTGAAACAAGTGGTCTCGCATCTCATCATTTGTAACAAGCAACGATCGGCAACTGACAGCTGCATACAGCCAATACCTGCAGCAGAACAGGAAGAGATGATTTGTGGATATAGAAAATATATAAAATGACCGTGCGTTGAAACAATATATAAACTGATCCTTTAAATGGGGAAAGCAAACATTAGCATGCCCTAAATCACTCCCTCAACAGAGTGCACTCCCTACAACCTTTTGGTAAATATAAATGATCCAGCTCGAAGAGCTTTTCCTTCATATGAATTTGCTGCTATGTTAAGCAGGAAAAAGGGGCTCACCAATCATCATTGGAACCAGGAGGGGTTGCATACAGAGCTCCAGCATTCCTCCAACTCTCCAGAATCTTCTGGTTGTATGGAGCTTTTGCAGGACCACCATTTACACGGTTCCTATGCAAAATTATCAGTGGCAACTTCTTTGATTGAGTTACTCTCTGTATAGCATTTACAACAGAGTTAACCTACAAGGAGAGAGGGATCCAAACTTGGTATTATTAGCCCTGTCTGCCTGCCTTTGTGTTAAAGAAGTATTGGATCATAACTTTACTGCTTGGCTGAACTACCTGTGAAAAACTGAAAGCTTTGCTATTGTAAAGGCCTACGTTAGCAGCATCTATAACAGCATCGAATGGTCCATGGCGACGTAGCCAGTTCTGCAGAGATGAGGGAGGTCTTGGGTCAGAGAGACAAGCTTATAGAATGAAAAAAGAGTAGTACTATATGGGATGGGGGTGAAAGAAGATGGTGATGGATTGGAGACAGACCTGGAACCCGAGGAAATCTTCCTTGACCTCACGCTTGATGGCAAGTTCGGTGAGCGAATTTGCAAAGTTGTCAGTCTCCGTTGGATCAATGTCTATGCAGACAAGCTTCTCCCCACAGCGTTGGCATGTCCCATCCTTATCCATCTCGGTCCAGCCAACGCTCCATGGCCCCTTGCCAAGCCATCCCTGGCCATGCCAGCCGCCGCCGCCCTTGACGACGGCCTCCTTGACTTTGCTGGGATCCCACTTGTCCACCCCCGCCTGGGACGCTGCGTCCGACCGGAACCAGGCCTCGACGACCTGAGCGGTCGTGTCGCAGACCTGCCTGACGAGGGCGCGCGTCCTGTGCAGGAGCCTGTAAACCTCATCGGCCTTGCCCTTGTCCGCATTGACGCGGAGCAACGCGGCGAGCTCGGGCTCCTCGGGCACGACGCCAGAGGCGTCCATGTGGGCCTCGACCTGCTTGGCGCCGTCGGCGTCTTTAGCATCGCAGTAGGCGAAGAGGGCTGGGCCGTACGAGCGGAGGCGCGGCGGGGTGCCCGCAGCGGCCATGCGGCGGACGACGGAGAAGGCCATGGCGGGATCGCGGGTGGCGGCGGCGAGGCGCGCGACGCTGGTGAGGGTGGCCTCGTTGGGCTGGACGCCGTCGGCCTCCATCCTGGCGAAGATGTCGAAGCCGCGCTGGGCAGCGGCAGCGGCAGCGGAGCTGTCGGTGTCAGAGTCGGTAGCGGCGGCGTTGGAGCAGAGGTAGAGCAGGCAGTTGTAGTGGTGGAGGGAGAGCGGGACGGGGGTGTCCGGGGAGAGGGCGTCGTCGTAGAGACGGAGCGCGGTGGTGAGGTCGGCGTTGCGGGAGCACATGTCGAGCTGGTGGCGGAGGAGGCCCTCGGGGGATTCGCGGGCGCGGCGGCGGCGGGCGGCCTTGCCTTCACCATTGCTGGGGCTGGAGTCCTCCAGCGCTGGGGCCGTGGCGGTGGAGGAGTGGCGGCGTCGGCGAGCAAAGGGGATGTGTTCGACCAAGAGGCGGCGGCGCTGGTGAGGTGGGGTGAAGAGGAAGCGGAGGGTGGTGGCGCTGGGTCGGAGGGCCGCCGCCGCCATGGCGGCACGCATGGCTTTGTTGGGGTTCCCTTCCGGATTGGGTTTGGGTTGGGCCTTGCATGACCTCCGGACATTCGATTCTCATTCCTTTTCCCTTTTATCGTCCCCTTCCCCTTCCGGGCGTCTACGAATGGATGAACAAAGACAGGACAGAAACGAAATCCTAAATCAGATAACCAATTCCACAGATAAATATGAATAAAAGAGTGTTTGTTGCCTCTCCTAAATTTTAGTCGCTGTCACATCGAATGTTTGACACGTGTATGTAGTATTAAATATAGACTAATTACGAAACTAATTGCATAGTTTACGACTAATTTACGAGACGAATCTTTTAAGCCTAGTTAGACCATGATTTAACAATATGGTGCTACATTAACATGTGCTAATGATGGGTTAATTAGACTAAAAAATTTATCTCCTGAAGTACTGACGGATTATGTAATTTGCTTTTTTATTAGTATCCAAACACCACATGCAACATCCTTCCAACACAACTTCTAAATTTTAGTCGCCGAATCCAGACACCACCTAAATATGCAGACACAAGTCCGTTTATTCTGTGCTCCTGTTGTACAATTCTCAATGTCTTTTACAATCCCATAGACACCAGATTCCTTAAAAAATCCACACATACTTATGCTGCCTTTGGTGAATCCATTGCCCAATCATATGTTATTATGCTACACTAGCTCTACAAAATCTATCTACATTCCGTAATAAACGGGGAACAGCGACACCACCTCGAAAAAGAGCTCTACACCAACACAGATCCCTCCCAAAAACAGAGGACCTTCCAACATTGTCCCCCTTAACTTGCAACATTGCTACGTATTTCCCCAGGAAATCTTTCTTTCCTCCTTCCAAGGGCTTTGGAGTCAGAGTGAGTGTCGGTCATGACAATGAATGGCCTCTGGCTCATCATAGCTTAGCTTCAGTTTCATTTGGTCGCCATGTCGTCTTTTGCACAAACAGCAAGCCTTCTTTATCCTGGGAGTAAGACATGCGGACCTCCCAGTGGAGAGATTTCACAATGTTCTCCAACTCACTTATTGTTTCAATGTTGTCTCTGACAATTAGCCGGCCTTCTGGCCTCAACACCCGATCCACTTCCACGATAACAGGTAATAGTTCGCACCTGCCATATCAGACAGAACATGCCAATAATCAGTGTTGAGGATGAAACTCGCATGACTATAGTATGCACAAGTGCAAGTGCACTATCTAGTTGAAAAGTTCAGCCCAAGGCAATTTGGTAGCCGAAGCAGCATCCACAATAACTGACTACTCAAGGACGGCATACACTTACCTCTTCTTAACCTTGGAGAACAGATGGTTGGCGTGCAGAAGATCGTAAGTTCTCGGATAGGTGCTAAACGACTCACACCAGTCATGGTACAGTCCAAACAGCCCACGTTCATATATAATTGGAAGTGTGTCAGGTGAATCAATTGGAACCACATTCATGACCCACACCTTGAGATCGCGCAAAGCTGCTGCGAACCTACAACAGAAAATGGGTGTGAGAAATGAGTGTGCTCTGGGCAATCATCTTTCGTTTCAGGAATTGCAAGTAGCAGTTAAGAAAATAAAGTCTAACACGGATCCCAGTGAAAGAGAAACCGAAATCTGAGGTCAGAGAAAGAATTCCACATGCTCAGAAGGTTAGTGAAGAAATAAGGCAAGTGCACCTCCTTACCCTGCATATACAGCTTTCATATCCATAACATTTCTAAACAGAAGACCAATCAGTACCCAAACCATTCATGTATGAATTGCTCACGACTCGCTTCCAGTGTTCATAGTCTGCTTGAAAATCCTCTGGGGCAGGTTTCCCATATACTCCAGCCTCAGAACCTCTCAGCCAATAAGGCGGTTTCTCCAGTCTCAATGGCCATGACTCGGGCCACTGTGAACCACGAATGGTAGGATCTACAGGCAACGTATGCATACAAGTCCCCAACGATATGTTCCTGAACAGTGACAAGCGATGAACCTAAGATTAGGTTTATAATTAGAGGATCAGCATCAAAGGTAGAGCCTGTTGAGAACAGTTACCAGGCTGCATCAGGATCATCATACTCTCCACAGAGTGGAGGGTTTGTTTCAGATCTTGCTTCATAGCAGCTGTTGTCTGTTGGCTTTCTGTAAATCGCCAGCACATTGAACTGGTTAGAGCAGACATGGCTAGAACAAGGCAAACAAAGATAACTCTTAGGCATGAAATTCGTAATTCATTATAATAATAGTAGAAAAGAAAATTAAAGTATGAACCCTCGATGGCCCCGTTCGGCTTACCTTATAATCCACACTATTCAGCTTGTTTTTTCAGACAGAACAGTGTTTTTCTCTTACAACAATTCAACCAGAACAGTATTTTTCAGCTAAGTTTCAGCAAGCCGAACATGGCCTACCTTGCCATATCTCAACATCTTCAGGCAGCTTCTGGTATACGGGTGTAGCAGACCACACAAAGTAACCACCAGGACACAACAGTCTGTCCAGTTCAAGCAAGAGTTTACCGCCTGCCAAATAACTAACAGGAATAGTGTCGGGTTCATAAACCCAGAGTCCTCGATGGGCTCGCTTCTCAGCAAAAGCTTGGCCCAGCAGACGGCATTACGACAACACGCGACTCCTGAGCCGGCCTAGATACCTAACGACAGGCCGGAAGAGCAATCTAGTCTCCGACCGGAAGGACTGGCCAAGGAGGGGACGACGCTCGCTTCCGACTCCGACCCGCTTTTCTGACCAGGAATACGCCGAATCTCTGCTTACAGCTCTTCTCCGACCGACACGGTCGGAGCCGACTAGGAACGACCAACCAGGGACGCCTGCTCGGTGAGGACCCAAGAATCAGGCAGAGCAGATAAGGCAAGGTACTCAAGTCAACCGCAATATCGAGGACCGTACCCTGCACACCTGCAGGACAGTGCCGCCAGACCATACCAAAAGGGTGCTTTGCAACCTTCCAGGTATGTCAGAACCCAAACAGTGTTATGAACGCCAACATTTGCCTTACAATATTGTGGACACCGTCATTTGCCATACCAGGCGAATACAATAAAGCCTGTCACATGCATCTGACATGAATAGTTTTGTGGGCGCCGACGACTGTCTTGTACCCGACAGCATGAGCAACAAGACTTAGTAGTACACGTGCAAACTCTCTCTCTCTTGTAAGACCATCCCTTCACCTATAAAAGGGGATGCGCTCCCTCTCAACGGAGGACGGTCATTCCGACTCTTTCTTTGCTAAGCTTTAGACATTCTGAGCACTCGAACAGCTCCACAACTCTAAAACTCTAAAGCTACACAGAGCACACGTTCCAGTACTTAGCGCACGTTGGAGCTCCCGTCTCTCTTGGCCCTTTGGTTCAGAACCCAACCGAACCTTTAACACCCCCTTCTTATTCCCACTCGTTTGTAACCTCACAGTAAACTTCGAGCATCTGGGCAGGAATAAAGTCACCGACTGGAACTGGACGTAGGGCACGTTGCCTAAATCAGTATAAACCATGTGTCATTGAGTGTTAGGCCACATCCGATCACAATGCACGGCAAAACTACAAATATTTACTTGTTAGTCACTTCTCACACCGACACGTAGTGTCACAAAACAGCTACAGAAAGGGACTGCATTGTACTAGAACAGGCTTCTCAGGATAGAAAGTACCTTCAATATGCCATGGTACCCTACATCGCTCACAATGAACAACATCAAAGACCCTACTGGGAAATGGGAGCCTTTTTGTACCCTTAACAGCTGATATAGCAGGTATTCCTCTTTCAAGAGCAAATTGAACCTGAGCTTCATGCTCATCTTTAGGTGCAAATGACATAGTAATCACATCTCTGTCAAATAGATATCCTCCAAAGCTAGCTACTCCACAGCCAACATCTAAAACTACACGACTTTGTTTTCCCCATGCTACGTCCTTCTTTGCCTGTGTAGTATAGCATTAAAAATGTCAGTCAATTTTGTAAACAAGCATAACTACTACATATGCATAAACTCAGTCCAAAGAAATTGGTGCAGGGCACCTACTCAATGAATCATGAGCATTCTGTTTATCAACTTAGCAGATATTCATAATGAATAGGTAAGAAAATATTATAGAGCACATTATCAACTGAATTGATACACTTGGAAAGCATATTACCTCCTGAATAAAATCAATGTAGTGCAACGCACCATGTTTAAACTGAGTCCTGGTGTCCCTTGTATTCAACCAGCTTAGTATGAGGAACATTGTTGTACCATATCTGTAGCAACAAAACCTTGAGTAAGTAAATCGATTTGGCAGATAACATCTTATAATCATTAAGGCATATGAACGGCCAGCACAAACCTGATCTCTGCTCTTAGGCCACCTTATTGGATTCCTGTAGCCCTCTGGTGGAGGAACAAGGCAGGTAGGAGGTTTCTCAGGGCAATCCCTTTCTTGGTGTTCGTAGTGCTTGGTGGAACGGAGCTTCTTGATAGCTTCTAGGTTGTCAAGGCATGGAATATAATCTGCTCCAGCGTCGACATTGCATAGTGCCCAACTAAAGCTCACTGGGCTACTGGATGTCAAGGTTTGCACCTTAGCGTCCTTGTTAGATTGTGCAATCTTCGTTTGCCATGGTCCGCGCTCTGTAGGGGTCTCATTGAAAAGCTCTGCCTGACTCCCTGATGGGAACACCTCTGGTTGCTCTGAGGCCCTCTGTTGGTCAGGCTGCCTAACTTGCTCCTTGACATCTTCTTGCTGATTTTCACCATCCATGCTGTCTGTTACACGAGGCAATTGTTGTGTAACAGGTGGTGGATCATCACGGGTGGTCTCCTCGGCCGGCACTGGATCAATGGGCACATCCCGTTCCATTTCACGGATGCCATCGCCCTGACCAGCACTGGTTAAGCTTCCGGTGGCAGGAGGAGAGTCATGAGGTGGCAATGGACAACTTTGGGCTGAAATGGAGAGAACTCTGCAGGGGTGACGAGCATGGACGATGCCATCCACACAGCCACCAGGCAGAGCGCGGCGAATACGGCGACGGTGGTTGTGGAGCAGGAGAAGTAGGACTGCGGCGCACGCCGGACATCGAGCCGCGTGTGGCCGAACGCCATATCGATCGGTCGGTCCAATGCTCACATCCAACACGCCTGGCCTCCTACAACAAGAGGAGGTTAGCGGATTGCATACATCGCTGGCATTCTAGAGAGGGAGGCAGTAATAAGAACTAAGAACAGTAACTTGATTGTTGGGGGTCCGATTCCAGGGTAAGAATCGAGGAGGGGAACTAGCTAGAAGAAAGAAATCGGGAATGAATCTCAAAAGGAAAAGGAAATCGAATTGCAGGAGCATCAGGAGAAAGGAGAAGTACCTTGCGGGAATGAATCGGTGGAGGGGGAAGGATTGAAGCAGGCGACTGCATGTCACGTCGTGTATCACATTACGACGTCACACGGAGTATTCGTATAGAAATAATAAAATAAATTACAGAATTCTCAGCCACAAAGTGAATTTACTAAGTCTAATTAATCTATCATTAACATTATTTACTGTAGCACCGTATTGTCAAATCGTGAACTAATTAGGCTTAAAAATTCATCACGTAAATTAATCGCAGTCTGTGTAATTAGTTATTTTTTAGTTTATATTTAATACTCCAAATATATGTTCAAACATCCGAATAGAGAATAAACTTTAAGAAAAGAAACTAAACGAGGCATTAATCTAATATATACACTAGATCGACTAATCTCTATGGTCTTGTCTTTTGGCGAAGAGGACTGATGGGTTGGAATCAGGCGGCGGATAATTTGCTGGGTTGTTCTAGGCAAGGAGGAGGCACGGATCAGCCATCACGGCAGGTACCGGGCACCAACTGTTCTTCAACCCATTTTCCAGTATATTACGTATTTATTAGTAGGCTTTCAGTTTTTCGTATTTAATTTTAGGGTTAATTTGAACCATGTCATTGCAAATGTCACGGTTTGGAGAGCTGTCATTACTATTCATCTATTTGATTTTTGTCATTACAATCCGCTTTTTATCTGAATCATGCCATTTTCTACTGTTCAATGCCATGGGACCCACATGCAGTCAATCATATATTTTCATATTGCCCAAAGTACCCCTTTCGTCTTCCTTGTTTCCTCTCAGAACTCAACAATGGTGATCCTAGGCTGCAGGATCCTGATATGAACCCGCTAGGGTGAATCCCGATCTTTTGATGAGAGAAGGTGGATAACTCGATTTGGGGATGGAGATGACGTTCACGGCCCGACTACAACCATCCAAGGATGCTGCGCCTTAGCAACCGATACACCACCTCCAACGGCCGTCGCGATCTTGTGGAGCACGATCAACCAAACCATTAGAGTAATTCCTGCAAGCAATCGAGGAACAAGCAAATACAAGTAGAACAAGCAACTCAATTACAAATATGGAGATGAAAACCAATCTGAAATCACAAAGTTGGGGTTCTGAATCGAGTAGAACGGATGGTCTAGTCGACACACGCGTCTACAAGGAAGTAGCAATGGCTAAACTTTCAACAAAACAAAACCCAACTGTTTTTTTGTGGCGGCTAAGGGGTATATGAAGGTGGAAGGACGACCACCAGGGTGTTGGGGTCGTGCTCCAACCCTAGGACGCGTCCCTAATGGATCCAACTTGATACACGGCCCATTGGACCAAATTAAGGCGACGCAGCATCTTTGAACAGGAAACCTCTTGGTAGTAATTCGGTCATTGCGACCGCCTCAAACAGTTATGGACATGATTACAGATCCATGTGAAAATAGACTTCATAAGGATTCCATGAAGTACTTGAACGCCCCAATCTGAGTCCGTATGCGACCGTGGTGAACATCACAAGTTGGATCTGTCCTGAAGTCCGAATCTAGCCCCAAAACATGTTGGATTTGATCTCTTTCTTTTCTTGGACCAAAAGTGACGTGGTGTCCAGGTGGAGGATGTTGGGAATACTTGGATTTGGTCCCCAATCAACTTCATTAACCTTCCATGCTTTACATATGCAATCAAACCTTCCCTTGATCCATGTAATTAATTCTGAAAATGAAAATATACATATTTTATGGTGGAGCATCAATTCATCAAATGCATCAATGATAAGCCTCATATAGAATGGTTGCACCTTTGGTATAGAAGTGGTTGGCATGGTCATATTTGAGCCAATGATGTCCTCATCAGATCCCGACAGTGGCGCACCACCACGAAGATAGGAAACGGCGGCGCTGGGAGGAAGGAAGGTGTGAAGCGAATGGGACAACCCTCCATGCCCCCTATGGCCAGTGCGTGGGGGTCATGGCCACCGCTGTTCACGCTCGTCGGCGTGCCTCCAATCGTGCCCGTGCTCACAGCCGTCAACTCCCTCCGTGCTCGCGGCCACTCGCCGACGCTGCCTTACTCGCGTCGCCGCCCATGGACCCGGTCGCACCGGTCTCCACACCGTCGCCCCACGGATCTGGCCATGCCGCCATAGCAGCAGGCGGGCCCAACCCTCATGCCACGCCCGCCCGACGAAGCCCACATGCGGTGCCTCCTTTCCCCCGTCTCCGCCATGAAGAGCTTCATGTACAACTTTCTCCATCATGGACACCACGAGAAAAAATATGAGGGAGAAAGGAAGAAGATAACACATGGTCCTACTATAAAGTCAGATGGAGAGGGGAGTAACAAGGGCATATTGGACCATACAAAAAATCTGCAGTGCTACATACTACTACATGTGGGTCCGGCATCGTCGAGAACAGAGAAAATGTCACGGTTCAGATAGAGAGGGAATTGTAATGATATCTCCACTATAATTGAAAACTTGTGAAAGGTCCTAATGGCTAGAGGAGGATGAATAGCCTAATAAAAATTTCTACAATAACACTTAACAAAAGGGTTAGACAATTATGAGGTTAAGCAAGTGTTGCGCTAGCCTACTCAAAATGCAAGCCACCTACCATAATTCTAGTTTAGATAGTATCTATTCACACAATAGCTATGACACTACTCTATGTTAGTGTGCTCTCAAAGGCTAACTAAAGAGCCACACCAACCAAGCAAGCAAGCTCTCACAACTAACTACACTAAAGAGCTTGACAACTAGTTTGCGGTAATGTAAAGAGAGCGATCAAGAAAGTTATACCGCCGTGTAGATGAAGGAACCAATCAATCACAAGAATAAATAACAATGAAGACCAATCACCTCAGAATCAATGATGAACACAATGATTTTTTGCCGAGGTTCACTTGCTTGCCGGCAAGATAGTCCTCGTTGTGGCAATTCACTCACTTGGAGGTTCACGCGCTAATTGGCTTCACACGCCAAACCCTCAATAGGATGCCGCACAACCAACACAAGATGAGAATCACACAAGCCACGAGCAATCCACTAGAGTACCTTTTGGCGCTCCACCGGGGAAAGGTCAAGAACCCCTCACAATCACCACGATCGGAGCCGGAGACAATCACCGCCCTCCGCTCAACGATCCTCGCTGCTCCAAGCCGTCTAGGTGGCGGCAACCAACAAGAGTAACAAGCGAAACCCGTAGCGAAATACGAACACCAAGTGCCTCTAGATGCAATCACTCAAGCAATGCACTTGGATTCACTCCTAATCTCACTATGATGATGAATCAATGATAGAGATGAGTGGAAGGGCTTTGGCTAAGCTCACAAGGTTGCTATGTCAATGGAAATGGCCAAAGATATGAGCTATAGCGCGGGCTGACCGGACGCTCCCACGAAATATAGCCGTTATACCCCTTCACTGGGCATAACGCGGGCTGACCGGATGCTCCGGTCAGTTGACCGGACGCTGAGCCCCCAGCGTCCGGTCGCTCGTAGTCAGCCACATGTCTGACTCCAACGGTCATCTACCATGCCCGAACGAACGCTCTGGTCAGTTGACCGGACGCTGGACCCTCAGCGTCCGGTCATTTCCAGTAAGGGTCCAGAACCGATTTTTATCGACCGGACGCGTCCAGTCATGCCTGACCGGACACAACCCAGCGTTCAGTGCTTAACCCTAAGCGCTGTGCAGACTGACCACTTGACCGGACGCAGCCCTTTAGCGTCCGGTCGCCGAGCGACCCAGCGTCCGGTCAATAGACCGATGCCAGCATCTCACTATTACACATGACCGGACGCGCCGGTCCCTCAGAAGTCCAGCGTCTGGTCACTGTATAACCAGCGACACTAACTCTTTTTTACTTCTAACTTCTCCACCCTTGCTCAAATGTGCTAACCACCAAGTGTATCACCTTGTGCACATGTGTTAGCATATTTTCACAAATATTTTCAAGGGTGTTAGCACTCCACTAGATCCTTAAATGCATATGCAATGAATTAGAGCATCTAGTGGCACTTTGATAACCGCATTCCGATACGAGTTTCACCCCTCTTAATAGTATGGCTATCAACCCTAAATGTGATCACACTCTCTAAGTGTCTTGATCACCAAAACAAAATAGCTCCTATGGTTTATACCTTTGTCTTGAGCTTTTTGTTTTTCTCTTTCTTCTTTCCAAGTCCGAGCACTTGATCATTACCATGGCATCATCTTCATCATGCTATGATCTTTGTTTGCTTCACAACTTGGAGTGTGCTACCTATCTCATGATCACTTGATAAACTAGGTTAGCACTTAGGGTTTCATCAATTCACCAAAACCAAACTAGAGTTTTCAACTTGTCTCTATCAAAATCAAAGGGTTCATAATAGATCTACGTCAAATCCAAAGGCCTAGAAATGATGTTTGATGGAGGCTTCTCACACCCCCTCACCTCCGCACTCTCCCCGCCCGCATCCTCGTAGCTCTCGGCAATTAGGATCCAATCACCGATCATTCAACCATCAAAAAA